CAAGTGCTTCTTGTAGTAGCTTACTCCTTGCTGTGACCTGAGGCCAGCCCTCCCCGCTCTGAGCCAGCTTCTACATCTGTGGATCTAGGGGCCGAGTGACCCCATGCCAGATGGCCCTGCTGGCTCCAGAGTCCTCACACCACATGAACTCCCTCAGCTCCTAACGGCTTCCCCTTCCCAGCCCAGGTCCAGAGTCCTACCCTGACACCCAAGGCCGCCGAGGGCTGAGTGCCGACCTCCCTGTCCTGGCTTCAGATCCGCAGCTGCTGTCAGAAACCTGGTGTGTCAGCAAACTGGCCGTGCCGGTCTTTCCCGGGTACACCCTGCAAAGTGTCCCCAGCTCAGTGCCTCTTTCTCATCACCTAGAACCCAGCCTTTCATTTGGGGCTCAGAGGTTAAGTCACACTTGAAGTCTTTCCTGGTTCCTTAGTCCCCAGGGGCTTATAGGACTCTCACCCGGGCCTTCCCCCTCCCCCACAGTTCATGAGAACCTAGAGGCAGAAACGAGACATTCGTCAAAACAAAATCACTGCCAAGCAATGAGGGTAGAGCCATTCCAAACCAGGCCTCCTGGCACCATACCCCCATGAGCTGGCACAGAGAGCCTGCCGTAGGCTGGAGATGGGATCAGACACGGCAGGCAGACTCACTCAGGCCCTTTCCGAGAGGTAATGATGAACAGGGCCATTGTACCTTGACCGTGTCCAGAGGGTAGCCGATAATGACACTGGCTGCACCTGTGGATGGAAGAAGAATACCTGGTCACTCAGCCTGCACTTGCACTTGCTGGCTCTTGGGATAGGACAGAGGGCTCAGGCACTTACATTCACTTATTCTAGCAATGCCCACTCACCAGAGAGGTCTCGCAATGTGCTAGGCACTGGCCAAGGCATGGAGAAAGGCAGAGAAAAAGTGGAGCAAAACCGGGTTCTGCCCTAAGAAACAAGCGCGCCCTCCCCCCCCACCCCGCCCCCCCACAAAGGGCAGTAAAGGTGCTGCGATAACTGGATATTTACATGCAAAAGAATGAAGTTAGACACACTAGCTCCTACCTTATACAAGATTAACTCAAAATAGAACAGACCTAAATGGAAACCTTAAAACTATAAAAGCCACATACTAAAACACAGGGGAAAATCTTCCTGACCTTAGATTTAGAGTAGATTCTTAGATATGACACCAAAGGCACAAGTAACAAATGAAAAAAATAGATAAATTGAACATCATAAACATTTTAAATTTTTGTGCATCAAAGGATACTATTAAGCAAATGAAGTCAACCTACAGAATGGGGGGAAATATTTACAAATCACATGTTGATAAGAACCTAGTATCCAGAATATGTAAAGAATTCTTACACCTTAAAAAAAATTGGCAAAGGACTTGAAGAAACATTTCTCTGAAGAAGAGATGCAAATGACTAACAAGTACAGGAAAAGATGCTCCACATCATTAGTCATTAGGGAAGTGCAAATCAGAACCACAGCGAGATCCCCCTCCATACCCACTAGGATAGCTGCCATTTAAACCAAAGAAGAGGAAAGTAAGTGTCATCGAGTATATGAGGAAATTAGAACACTCATACATTGCTGGTGGAAATATAAAATGGTGCACGCCTTGCTGGTGTGGTTCAGTGGTTGAGCGTCGGCCTATAAACCAGGAGGCCACGGGTTCGATACCCACATGCCCAGGTTGCGGGCTCGATCCCTAGTGGGGACATGCAGGAGGCAGCTGATTGATCACTGATTCTCTCTCATTACTGATGTATCTATCTCTCTCCCTCTTCCTTCCTCTCTGAAATCAATAAAAATATATTTTAAAAAATAAAACTTAAATAAAAATAAAAAAGAAATATAAAATGGTGCAGCCACTGTGGAAAACAGTGGCGGCAGTTCCTCAAAAAGTTAAGTATTGAATTACCAAATGACCCAGCAATTCCATTCCTAGGTAAATATCCAGAAGAAATGAAAACAGGCACTCAAACAAGTACATGTGCACACATGCTCATAGCAGCACTATCCACAATGGGCAGCAGGTGGAAACAGCCCAATTGCCCATCACTGGATGAATGGATAAACAAAATGTGGTCTACTCATACAATGGGATGTTATTAGATGTAACTAGGAATGAAGTGCTGATACAGGCACAGTGTGGATGAACGTTGAAAACATTATGAAAATGAAGAGGCCAGACTGATTCCATTTATATGAATTATCCAGAATAGGTAAATCCATAGAGACAAAAAGCAGACTGGCAATTGCCAAGGCTTGGGGGAGGGGAAATAGGAGTGGCGGCAGGGGTCCAGGGACTTCTTTGGGCCTGAGGAGAATGCTCTGGAACTAGATAGAGGCGATGGTTACAGGGCACTGTGAATGTACCAGACGCCACGGAATCGCACACTCTAAAACGGCTAATTTTATGTTATGTAAATTCATCTCAAAAAAGGGGGAGGATATGAAGAGAAAACCTAGAGACTTTTCAGTTACCTGCAGGTTACTTAACTTAAGCTGTGTAGGTGGAAATAATATTAGCACCTACGTCACCGCCCCACTGTAAGAGTAAAATGAGGTTATGAATGTAAGTGCCAGCAGAGAGCCTAGCACTTACAGGACATTCAAAAAGATGCTGCTGCTATTGATTTTATTATTTTATTTTTAGAGAAGGCCTCTTTGAAAAGGCGATGGATACTCTGGGTCTTTTCACAGGAAAATGCCTACCCATACACATTCACAAGACTGGAAGCATTTTGGAGGGAAGGTTACTCTGAGGTCATGTAGATTAAGCAGCCCTTATCGGAGAAGTCAGTGGCGATGAGATTGAAACAGGAGCCATTTTTCTAAGACAAATTCTTCATCACAGTGATGAGGAAGAAAGTGTCTCTGCTCACCGGGAAAGGTAGGAAAGGGGTACGAAAACATGAGATATTTACAGGGAAAGAAACCAGCTCTTGTCTAGAACCTCCTGACCCTTCACAGCCTCTGCTTCCCACAGAATTGGGCAGAAGCAGAAAGGTGATGGACAGCTGGGAGCTGGAACATTCACTCCACATGAACCCTTCCCAGCAGGGAAGGAAGGACTCTGGTCCTCAGGCTCCAGCTGCTCCCTACCCCAGTGAGCACATCCGCATCCTTCACTGTGGGCATCACTCAGGACCACGCCCAGATCCAGCCCTGGCCAGCATCTCCCTGTTCACTTAGCTGGCCCTCTGAAAGCAGGGATGCAATATAAGAAATCAGACTATCAGGCTGTGGGACTCTACAGACCAGAACGATTTCAAACAAAATGTGAAGGATGTGATGGTGAAATTTTACCATGCGAGGCCATTAAGAAAACAGCACAGACAAGCACAGGGGTTAAAATGGCCCTGGTGCCAGACTGCCTGGGTTATTCCAGTGCTCATGCCACAGGAGGGCCTTGGGAAAGCCACTGAATTTCTCTGTGTGTCCTCATCTGTAAAATGGGGATGTAATAATCGTAGCTACCTCATCTATAAAAATAAAAGGGTAATATGCTAATTAGACCATACGTCTTCCAGATGTCATTCCGGATGTCCTTCCTGATGAAGCCAGGGCTGGAGGGAAGCCAGCCTGGGTCCTGGGTGCCTGCTGGAGGCCGGAGGAGGGAAACCTGGGTCCCAGGTGCCAGAGGGAAGCCAGTGCCGGCAGCTGGGGGAAGGAAGGCCTACTCTTGCACGAATTTTTGTGCATCGGGCCTCTAGTTGGAATTATAAAGAAATAAACAGACACAAGAGACCACATATTTTTGGTTCCATTAATATAAAGTGTCCAGAGGAGACTAATTTATAGAGCCAGGAAGTAGGTTTGTGGCTGCCCAGAGGGTAAAGGAGGGGACGGGGTTTAACTGTAAATGGGTGTAAGGATCTTACACAGGATGAAAATGTTCCCACACTAATTTATGGTAATGGTTTCCCAACTTGGTGAAGTTATTAACAATCACTGAATTGTACACTGAAATGGGTGAATTTTATGATATGTAAAATAACCTGAAAGTTATTTTAAAAATATACACAGAGCACTTAGCACCTGGTACCTACTAAGTATTCACTGTTACTGCACTCACCATTTCATGGAAGCAAAAAAAAAAAAAAGTTAACCAACAAAATACGCACATTTACAGAATAAAGGGCACTCCACCGCTTACTGTGTGCACTGGAGGGTCTCCGTGTCATCAGAGACTCGGAGCTCCTCTGACAGCGTTAGCCCCCAGGGGGTTCCTACACCAAGCCTCCAGCAGCCCTGCTGAAGCTGTCTGGCTGGAGGGAAGCAGCGGAGGGAAACCTTTCCCTGGGAATGGCTGAAGGGCAGGCTAAAGAGGGCCTCCAGGTGCAGGCCCCCGAGTGGGAAAATTAGGAGAGGCAGGTCTCAGCCAGCCTGAGAGAGCCAGTGTCAGCTTAGAATTGCCCACCCTGAAAGGAGCCACCTCTGCTCAGGACGGTGAGAAGCAGGTGCCCTGCAGCCATCTGTGGGGGGCAGTGTAGATACCTGCTAGGTGGGAGGGGGGGGGGGCAGAAGAGGAAGGACCTGGGATGCTATCTGGCCTGTTGCCTACTGCCCCTTTCTCTGTTTCCTACAAATCTCCTGGTCTCCTCCATACCTAGAATGCTGGGGGGAGGGGGGGCACAAACACACCATATCCTCTGCCTCAGCACCTCAATATTTTATTTTGTCTTTGGGGAGGGGCTGCATTTGCCAACATCCCTTTGCCAATGGTCCTTTTAGATGGGACCACAAGGGAGATATTTTACAGTAAGTCCCTCAAACCTTCCCCCATATTCCCACTTACATCTGAGAAATGGAGGGACTGACCTATCGGGAAGAGAAGAATGGAGAAGGAAATGGATGAATCTCCTGAGCAAGCAAACCCATCTCAGGCCCAGCAGAGCGTGGCTCCTGCAGGTGTACAAGGGACCACAGTGCCAAGAGGGAGGCTCTGACAGTTGACAGCGGCTGAAGAGGGGAGGGGTTCCTACTATCTGCTCCCTCCAGCCGGGGCACCCCTAGGACCAGCCTGATCACGCAGTGGGGCTTCCCATTCTGCGCAGGGCCAGAGGCCAAGCGCCACGCTCACCCACAAGTTCCTTCGAGTCGCGTCCCCAAATTCAGGTGCGCCCCGGGCCACCAAAGGGTGTGCACGCGCCGAGACGCTCCATTGGCTGTCGGCTTAATCATTACTGGACCAAGCTCCGCGGATCCTAGCTTGGAGGCAACTCGGGAGCTCAGGTGAACCTCCGTGAGGCTCGCGGAGCTCAGGCGGGCAGCCCGTGGGGAACTCAAGGTCCCAAGTGCGGGCGGCGGGCTCTCCCCGCAGCAGGTGGCGCGCGCGGCGCGGGCAGGACCCGCAGGCACAAGAGCACCCTGGTCCGGCCCGGGGTGTAAACTCAGCCCACGCGGCTCCCGGCTCGCCTCTTTCTGTCTCT